ATTGGGAAAAAGGAAATACCGCCTGAAAACAAACAGTTGGTGAATTGTTACATCGCGGCGTGTTTGCCAACATTAATGCAAATTTGCAAGTTCAATAAGCCCTGCAGCCGCAATCCTGTAATCGGGTCCTGCATGTCGGTCCATTTGGGCGTGTAACAGGAAATGAAGTCGAGTGGAAGCCCAAGTGCCCCAATTACTTAACGAAGCCGGCTTGGTGCAAATTAATATGCCCACCCCCACTTCCAATCGGCCCGGCCGAATTTTAATGAGCGTCAGTCAAATTGCACGGCGGAACGAGTACTATTTACAGAGCCAGCCAGCCAGCCAATGTCAATCCGCGACGTTTGCTTTTCATTGGAAATTCCCGAGCTACTCGCACGTGTAATTTCCCGTGCCTGAATAATTCACGGCGTATTTCAATATATGTGCCGGGGCGCTCGGGGAAAAACTCGATTCGCGCCAGACGCTTCCTTTGTGGTCGGAACTTCTTCTTATCTGGCGAATCAATTGAATTTCCTGGGCTGCACTAATCAAAATTCTGGGCCACGCCTCGGCGACTTGCAAGAGCGGCTGCTTCTTCCTATTTCTCGAGAATTCCCACTTTCGGCTCGCAATTTAATGTGCGCCCGCTGATTTTCTTTGCCACGCGTGACGTGCGCTTCCGCTCTGCTTTCTGAGAGGCTGCGAATTCAATTTCTTTTGAAACGCGAAAATTAGCTTTTTTTTCGAGGAAATACATTTCACAGTTAATTATGCATGATCAAAGAGCCCGGCCTGTTGCAAAAAATGGTGAACCAATATTGATCGGGGCTGAAAAAGCCTGGCGTTGTTTAAATTGAATAGCTTGCGCTAGGGTTATAAATTTTCCAATACCAAACAACGACGCCGGTAAACGAGTGTTTTGGCACCCAAGCCTCGCCGGATCCGTTTAACTAACTAACGCAGCTTGGGCCCACATGCAATACAAAGTAGCTGTGCGTATGTTTGTTCGCAAAGCTCCTACAGAAAGCCAGCGTATGCAGCCGTCTTGAGCGCCGTGCCGTGCCGGCTGCCTAAATCAGCTGAGTTGTTTCAAAGTGCTGGGCGAGCAAAATTTGATGCTTGAAAAGAGAGCGAGGCTGAACAAATTTGTTAACTAATTGAAGGCAAAGGGGAAATTGGTAAGATAAATTTGCTTACGAATTAATACTGTGTCAAAGAAAATCATATTGAAATTGAATTTAAAAGAAATTAATGTATGAAAAGAAATTAATAATAATTAATGTAAAGAAGTTGGATCTCAAGCGGGCGTTCATGAAAGTGACATAAAACGGGCTTTTTTAAATTTTATAACCAAATAAATATTTTGCCCAGAAATTTCTTTATTTTAAATAAATTATTTTCAACAATTGAACATAAACAATGTATTTGCAACAATTTAGAAAATTAACAACAGCAATATACATATATATAATTCAATTTGTAAGTTGAGGCAGTAAAAATAAAAATTAAATAAGTATAAAGTTTAAGAAGTGCAATGGACACTACAGGAGATGATCATGAATGGGAAAACGTCCTCCAAAATCAACAAGAATAAGCCCACTTTTTCACTTCATAATAATTATTATTATTCTTGATAATATTCTTCGCAAATATTTTTTGCATTGTTCCTATATATTTATTAAATAACCTTTGAAATGTAAATGAAATTCATTCAATTTATTCTATTGAATAAATACTAGGTAGGTTTTTTTACCTTCTCCCCCTTTTTAAATGAATATCTTGCAATCGAAAATTGAATTCAGAATTAAAAGCGGTAAATAAAGGCAGCACTCAAAGTTTGTTTTAAGTTCTGGCTGCGTAATTAGCTTTCGTACCGAAAGACGCAATTGACTTCTAAAGTAGCCGCAGAATTTCTTGAAAAGTGACGGTAGCGACTTTTGGTTTCGCTTTTCTCAAAAGGCACCTTTGAGTGCTGCTCGCATGAAACCGAATCCAAGTGGGCGCGCCACTCGAGAGGCACGAAATTTGACACACGCTGATGAAACACCTGATTTTGAGAGAGTAGCAAACGAAAGAGGCCCGAAAGCAGAAAACGCAGAACGCCGTCGCGTCGACGAGCAGGCACTCGTGGTCATTAATTTGAAGAAGCAGGCTGAGGCGAATTCTAGCGGCGTGTCACGTCTCGCACCGTAATTTATTTAGGCCATTTGCGGCGGCTGGATCGAGTTGAACAAAGGCTCGCCTCGCCTAGCAATCATATTGCGACCGCATAATCCGACCCTCCCTTTGATCCGACGAGAAGCGTCCTCGGTTCGATACCCGCGAGCTAGGCCTATTATTTACTCGCACGCCAAAGCTGTTCTATGGAAAAAAAAGTTTAATTAGAGCTGTGTGTGGGGAATTGATGGGAGACCGAAGAGGCCGTGAGAATCGTCCGGACGTTGATGGAGCGGCTGAGCGAATTATTACCGCTGTTTTTGGCTTTCCGTGTCTTTTACCCTCTGATGTGGTGCGCAAAAAGAATTCGCCGCCGCTCGCGTTGCAAAAGCAATTTGCGCTTTGATCAGCTTGGCTGAAAGGCTTTTACGGCCTTTCCGTTCAACGTCCGATCGCGTTTAATTAAATTTTATTACGTTATATTTCAGTGCGAGCGCCGCGTTTAAAATATCAAAGGAACATCAGCAAAGCCGCTTACGATAGAGATAAAATTTAATCCTCATTAGCCAACGGGAAAAATCATAAAAACCAATCTTTAAAATTCCAGATCAAATCCATAAATTCAGAATGCAAAATTAATTTTTAAAATCTCGTCAGCAGACAATTTAATAAATGATTACTCTCTTTGAAGTCACATCAACAAAAGAAAAATGAAAATAAATTGGAGAATCAATTAGTTCAAATTAATTTGCTTTGCCTTTCCTTATAATAACCAACTTTTGCAAACCACACAAATGAAGTTTTTTTTATCAATTTTGTCAAAGCCTCGGAATCCGCACAACAATAGCAATGATGATATTTTGTGAATGTTGTTAACTACCACCTTCAATCTATATCTAAATTTGTTGTGCTTGGTTGAAGTCAACCGTTCAAATTCCAATTTATAAGTATTAGATAATGGTACAAAGTCTTTTTTCCACTTTATAGTTCAAAACAACCAAAAGATTGAATAATCTTTGAATTTGTTTTAATATAGGAAAATAAATATCTTTTTAAATATGACAGCCGTTGGTCAATTTTTGAAAATAATTTCACTAAAATTAATTGAGCAAATATTTCTAAGCAATTGACCCAATGAAAGATTGGAATGGCCAATTAATAAATGAACAATGCAAACACTGGCGATTCGCAGATAACGTTGTTTGCAAATAACTAATGTTTGCGCAGTGCGATCCGCCATAATTTGGCGGAAGAAAATAATGAAAGTTCGCAGTAAACGCGTGCGTCGGACGAAATGTGAAATTAATATTTGTGCTTTGTGAGTGCCCGCGCGCTGTGGTGGAGAGCAAAGGCCTCGATTATTATTCGCCCGGACTCGTTCTGCGGCCGGGTTCAATTATTTCGCATCGCGCACATAAATATCTCGCGCATTGCAACGCTTCTCTCTCTCTCTCCCGTGCCCTTTGAACCCTTTGTTTTGCACCGAGCGGCGGCGCACAGAGTTCTGCAGGCCCTTTGCAAACGCCACAGAGACCAGTCGCTGCTCTTTTGCATTTCACTCGAGCACCGCCCCCGTTTGCAATAAATAAACACACAAGTGCACTTTTGCATGCCTGCGAAAAGCAGGTCTTTTATATCGCTGCCCCTGTGAAAACGCACTTAGCTAGGCAGGAATGTCGGAAAGATCGGTACGAAGCATTTTATTAGGTCGTAAATCCGCGCGCAAATTGCTGAAATATATTTCATTTTTGCTCCTCTCTCGTTCTTTTTTGCATTACCAGTTGCCACTGCAGTGCGTATTTCGAGCAGACTCCTCATTTCTTCTGCCCCACGAAATTTAAGCTCCCTCAGATTATCCTCTTTTTCTTCTTTTCTTACTGCGAGGGGATTTGCGAGTCTGCTGCCGTTTGAACTGGTCTAATTTATAAGGTTCATTGTTGCGGCTGGATCCAATTTTTTCTCTAAGAAAGGAGATTTGCACACTGCTGCGGAGATGAAAATCGGTCAAGTTTCAAATAATCTGATCCACATCACAATTCAACCTTAAAATAGCCCAGATTAATTGTGTGGTTCTTTTAAAATCTTCTCTGGAATCTAAAATCATGCTTTTTCCACTAAAGAAAATATGAAATGTTATTGATATTCTCTAATATTTATTTTTAAATGTATTGTATGTGGTTCTTTTTTTAATTTCATAAAATATTAAGATTATTTCCATAGATTGCATAGATTGTTTTTATTCATTAAAGACTGAAAAAAAATCAGAAACAAAATAATTAAAGGTTTTTTTGAAGGAATATTAATAAAACTGAATAAAACTATTCAAGGGTGAGATTTTTTTGTATTCAAAAATAAAATTATTTGCTCATTTTATACGTCCTTACTATTCCTTATCAATTTTGTCTTCAAATTTCCTTTTTTATTTGAAATAAAAAATTTAAATATATAAATGCTGCCCTTTCAATTGGAATTCAAGATTCATTGAACAAAACCAGAAGTTGTTTTGGAGCTGAATGAAAAATTCAAGTGCCTCTGGAGTGATTGCAATGGGCAGGTCCACAAATAAACAAAATTACCCCTATCTTTGTCAGCTCGTGCATAATAAATGTCTCGTTGGATAAAACGCAAGGAGCGTGAAGCGGTAGCAGAATTTCTCATCCCACGCCGCGATTTTCCCTCGAGACGCACACCGAGAAAGCTTTCTTTTTTCTTTCCTCGGCTTGTTTTCGTTCACGCAGCCTCTGATGATTTTTCCCCTCGCCGTTTCGGTGCCGCGGATTTGGCCAAGTTCATTTTTCAGCGCCGACGTTTACTCTGAAAAACGCTAACCATTCATCACAATTCCTTTACTTTTGTTGCAGATATACAAGAATTTTACGAGCTCACGCTGCTCGACGACACCAAATCCATTCAACAGAAGACTGCAGAAACCATCCGCATCGCCAACAAATGGGAGGCGACGGACGGACTCGGACAGCCCCCTTACGAGGTGAGTGCGTCTTGCTCATTTGCATAGGAATCGCGTTAACCCCCTTCCGAATCGGCTCAAGGTTTATCCTTTGTCTTCCTCCGCTTGAGCCGCACAATCGAGAACGGGATTTGTATTTGTCTGCAGGAAACGACAAAAAATTATACCTTTTTCGCGGGGAAATTTTGAGACTTTTATCCCACTTTGGCAAGGGGCGAGAAGTTTTGCAGAATCAACGTCAGCCGAAAGCTTTTAAGCGAAATGTAATTGGCCAAACTGAGCAGGTTGTTGCGTCTTGCGAGATAAGTTGGAGAAGAGGACGTAAATAGCCTTATGATATTCTCGGGGAAGTGCCCGGAAACTTTTTGCAGCGCCTGCCAACGACCGTTTCCGACTTTTCGTCTGTTTTGCAAAACTTTTTTAATATGATTTTCCTTACTGTTGATGTTCCCGGGCAACATTCAACAACACACATTTCGCGGAACTGGGATTTTACGCCCGAGGCTACAAATGGACAAATTAAAAGCTCCGTGGTGTAATGAGCGAGTACGAGACTTTCATTAGCACCGTGCTAAAAGGACTTTTATGTTCTTAAAAGTCCCATTGATGGCAACAAGTCCATTTTATTTTAATTCAAAAGTGAATGTTTTCCTAAAAAATTATATTTTCTGATTTTTTTTATAAGTCTATGTCTCTTCTTCTGCCAGTGCTAAATTTAAAACAACAATCCTAACGCTAATGTTGAATGAAATAAACTCTTTTTCTTTTTCATTTATAAAAATAGTTGACTTATATTTTTAGAAGTAATCGTTCGTCAAAAATTCCAGTGATAAATCATCTTTTTTATTAATCGTCAGGAATCTTCCCCACTTTATGAATTTTAACAACAACAAAGGGGAATGTTTTAATTAAAGCCACTCTAGAGTTAATGAAAAATAACGGTTATATTCCTCCCAGTTTACTCACAGAAAAAGAAATCGTTTCTCGCCGAGTGAAAGAAACAGCTCGCCCTCTCAATTTCTATGCAAATTAATTAACTTTAGGCGGTGCGGCTCGTTTTTATTGTTGAAGCGAGGCGATGAATTTTCATGCCTCTCCGCTCCGAGCAGCTGAAAGGCGGCAATTAAAAATGCCGAGTTGCTGATTCAAAAATCTGAATGCCACACTTCACTGCCAGTTTTGTTATTATTGCGCTGTCGCCGGCAAAACTTTTCACTTCTTGGCGTAATCGGCTTTGCCTCTAGAATGTTTTATTAATGGCCACCAGGGATTTCATAATGTAGCGCACACCAAGTTTGTGTCATTTAAATATTTAAGCCAATGTCATTAAGTGACCCGCCAAAGCCTCAAGAATGTGCAGGGCAGCAAATAAATTTTGGAATTAAAGTGCGAATGTCAGGCCTTTTTTTTAATTCGATGAATAAATTAGGACGAATTCTTGTTTTGCCCGAAGAAACACTTGCAAATTGGCTGTTTTTGTCCCAGGCCGTCAAGAAGTTTTGCATTTATTTCACTTGTAAATGACTTTGAATTTGAATGCAAACGCCAGAAAATCCATTTGCGTAGAGTGGCAGATGTTTTATTTAGCATAACACAACAGTTCCGACGTCTACTGAAAAAGCTTCCTTGCAAATGATTTATTTCATTTCTCTGAACGGAAATTAAAATTTTAATAATTATTCCCATTTCAATGGAGGATTTAGAACTGGACAACCTGCCTTTCTCGCCTGTTGAACCGGTTGCATAACCCTGTTTACTTTTCACATCGAGAACTTTCCTTCTTATTCGTCGCGAGAAGAAGTTTTAACGGCGCGCAACAACTTTCAGGCGGTTCGTGCTAAACGAGAGACATCTTGAAAGCTTTTATGATCGAAAAACAACTGAAAGTGATGGAGTATTTTAATGACTTGCCGAAAGCAATTTTTTTTAAACTTTACGTCCCATTATGCGAAAAATATGTCCTCCGTTCTAGATTAGAATCGGATCGTTGGCAAGAGGAAAAACGGTTTATCTGCAGTGCATGATCATCACGAGGGTCTAATTAAAGAGAGGCGGAATTCGGCCTCATTAACTAATGAATCCAGTCATGAAACGAGCACACTTTTCCAGCGGTAATGGCCTCTCAAATGACCCCCATTGAGAGGCCTCTCGCTCCATCCATCGCTCGGCTCATTTCGCGCGACGGGCGAGAATCAATTTGCACATCTTCTCTCGCTCGCCCCGCCTGCTTTATCGCCTGACGGATGATTGCCCGCGAAAATTGCTCTGGAAATTTTTAATCAAAACTTTGTCAGGTATGAATTTGAGATAAAGCACAACCCCCGATAAAGCATGCACGCGCGCGGAAAGTATCGATCGCGCCCGCTGCCAATATAAATTACCACTTTGAAAGTCTCGTAAAATTACGAATTATGTAGGCCGTTAAAAGATGAGTGAACCCGTCCATTTGTTTGCATTCTCGTTGCGTTTATCGTTTTATCCGCAGGCCAGTGACAAAGAAGATCAATTCCCGCCGGGAGGCTGCGCGAATTTGTCTCCGATAAACAACTTCTTGTGCTCCGAAGCACGCGGAAATTGTTTATCAGCAGCCCTTGGGGGAATTCTAAATTTACAAAAACTGTGACTCGCCTTTCTCGGTCCACGTGCCTCAACTTTCTTCGTAGACGATCTGTGCGTTTAACAGAAATTTCCCACGTAACTTTCAACAACTCCGTTTGTTGACATTAGGCCGGAAAAAAAATTAAAAGAGTTTGCAAAGAAACTTTGAGCAGCAATTTATCCAAGCAACTCTTTAATCATGTTTGTTTGCACTTCATTTTTCCGTGGGTTTTCGTTTGCCACGAGAAATTTCCTTTTTGGTTTTCTCCAAAATACTAAATGAGACATTAATATTAATTTTGTTATCAACTTACGTTTCTAAAACAAAAACATAAATGTTTTACACAAAAAAAAATAATAATATTTTAAATACCTTTCATTATATTTGTAATATTTAAACACCAACTTCTGAAGTTCAAAAGAGCATCACACATTTTATGAGTAATTAAACAACACTTCTGACTAATCAGCGAATTTTTCCGCCAACTATTTGCATAACAAAACGTGCTGATGGTAAATTTTTTAGCAGCTTATCAGTCCAATCATGCGTGCGTTTTTCGGCTGGCGTAGCTCAATTTTACTCTCCCGAATAATTGCACCGGCCAAGGACGTTATTTATGCATGAGGCTGTAAAAATGTGCCCCGGATTAAGCCAGAAATATCATCACTTTTTACAACCAGTCCAAACGTCCGCTCTCTTCATTATGCGAGCCAACCAACTAACAGGTGCATTTGCGGCTCATCCTAATGGCCCTTTTCTAATATCCCAACAAGGCAGCGACGAGTCTGTAATGAAATTCGCTGTAGCATTTTGTCCTGCAGTAAATTTCCGTAACGGTCGCACCAATTATTACCTCTGTGTGTTCTTCAACGTACCTTTTATTTTAATTATTTCAGTTAGTGCTAAATAAGGTTTTCACACCTCACAAAACGTAAAATAAAGCACTAATTTGCAAACTGAAATTATCAATTACATTTTAGGAGCTTCAAAGGTTTGCTTTCTTGATGATTTAGAAAGATTTTTGTTGAAAGAATGAGAAAAAAAGAGCAAAAAATATGCATAAATAATCTAATAAATTAATCAAAATCTTTAATGTATTACACAGAAGTATTTTACAAAAACTCTCTCAAATTCCATAAAAAGTTGCAATTTGTGATGATCTAAAAATTAATATTAACAGAAAAACTTGAGTGTTTTCACACAATTTTGCCACAATTTGTTTGTATTTAAATGCAATATTTTAAACCATGATATTAAAAAATAATTTCTCCCAAATACGAAACATACCAGAAGTTGATGATTGCCAGGAGAATGCGATCCAAATGTGCGAATGTAGCAAGATTAAATATAGAGAGTGAGCGAAATTAAAGTCGTTACGAGCTACATATCATTGCATTAACGCCGCCCCATTCCACACGAAAACAGCTCCGAAAAGCACTGAGCTTGTTTGCTCTCGGCGGCGGCGCACCCAGGCCGTGTGTATACTATCAATAAACGTCCCTGTCGGCGGTCATCCGCAGAATATTTTGTGGCGTTTTGCAAAGCCTTTAATGCCTTTTATAGGCAAATTATGGATCCAGATGTGGCCGCTGTGCGCATCGAGAGAGAGTTTATTGATGGCGTTTAAAATGGCTGCGAAAGACAGTTGGGAATTTATGCGTTTGAGCGTCACTGCTGAGTTCGACGTTTCATATTCATTCTGCCGACGCGCATTAATCGTGAAATGCATTAGCTGATTATTGCCGTCATTTTGGGCGAACTCGTCGCCCGTGTTTTATTCAAAGACGTCATTTGCAAGCTGCAGAAAACATTATTTGTTTTCGTTGGTGGTGACACAAAATAATGTCTCTCTCCTCAATGGCGCTTCACAGTTTTGTAGAGAATGTTGGAAACTCTATCATAAGGTATCTCACATCTGTATTTTAACACACACGCCGTTGAAGAACTAAATAACAAAGCGCTCACTCTGTACAACTGCAGCAACAGTGAAGTTTGTTCAAAGCTGGTTTACTGTTCCGCCAGACAAGCGAGCGAGCGAGTCGCTTACACATAATTACACATGCACAAACAGCTGTTAGTCTTGTCTTACCTTCAGCATAATGAGAATTGCAAACAACGCTGATCTATTTTCAGATAGAAACTGACAGAAACTACTGGTGTTTATTTACAAACGTATAATATAAATGATAAAGCAGCTTCAATTTGAAAAAAAAAAACAATAAGGAAGGGTTAAATTTTGTTATTGTGATGCCATTTTTTAGTTCGAATTGTAGAACATTTTAATTGGAAATTAATCACCGCTCCTTACTTGGTCAATTTAAAAAAAGGTTATGATTCAGAAATTCCGTTTGGAAAAAGGGGAATTAATAAGAAAAGTTCTAGCTTACCGTTATTCAATATTTAGAAAGAATCCTTTAAAATT